AGTGCTTTGCTTATCCTGGGTCTCTTTCCTTTCCATATAAAGTTTGTAATTGTTTTTTCCATAAAAGGGAAAAAGAATCTTTTACCAAAAACTTATCCCTGTGTTCTTCCTATTTAAAAGTATGTTTACTAGTGGATGATCTACTACCCTTTAAAGACTTAAGCTTTGGTGCTAATTTGAATGTTTGTAAATCTGAATCTTTTTCTTCTTACTTTGTGTTGTTTTGCAGGTGGCTGACTGTGCCTGGGATGAAACAATAAAGATATATGACCCTGCCTGTCTCACTTTACCTCCTTGAGATGCACTGCTCTGGTCAGAAACAAAGGACCAGAACTGAAGAACTACTTAGCAGGAAATAAATGACCTATTGTTAACATATACATAACAATTTTATATACTATTCAGATTCTGATTTTTTAAAAATCTGTCTTGGAATCAGTTTTGAAGCAGCTGACAGAGACAATTTTGTTAACTATTTAAGCCTAATACATAAGCCATATTTCTTGTAATCTTAAGGAATAATTAATGTTATGGTATATCTTGTAACAGAAATTAAAATATAACCTCTGTATTGTAAAGAAGATTAAAATATGGGGGGTTTGTAGATTATATTGATGGTGATAGATTTCATTTTCAATGTATATCATTTTCATGTAAAATATAATCACTACTATAGATAAAAATCTAAATAAATTGTATCTCTTGATCATTTATCATTTTATGGTATCCCTAACAAGATTGTTTTTTACTAGTATATTGCATATGTATGAATACAGTACTATATGCTAAGTAGAGAGATAACTATGGTTCCGTATAGGGGCTCTAATATTGGCTTTATTTATTCATTTCTTCATCACTTATTTATTGAACATCTGCTAAGTGTCTGACATACAAACTGAATAAGATTCTCTCAAGGACTGGCACCCTGATTTCAGAACATAGAATAGTTTCAGCAAAGAGCTTATCCTTTTTGTATTTATTAAAAACTTTATAGATATATCATACCCATGACCTTTTCTTTCCCTATTCCCACTTCTCTATTTTCAAACATTTGAAAAACTGAGAAAAA